CGTGAGGGACTGCAGAATTCGATTCTGAACAACTTTTGTACTCAGAGTTTTGTTTCAAAATGCTTGCTTCGAGCGAAACTAGCCGTAAGGCTTTTTTCAAAATACTTTTAGCTCTAAAATTTTCTCGGGAAGGTGAAAGTTAAATTTCTCCGTCAAACTTCATTTGGGAACGATGTAAAGTTTTTTTATCAGAAACTATAAATCCGGGAACTGAAAGCTTTGTTGAGACGTATAGTTCGAAGTGTCCCCCACAAACTGCTGGAAAAAAACGGGTGGGGGACCCCCCTCCCCTTAAGCTCATCTCTTACGAGACTCGTGTTCCCGTTATTTTTTGGTACAAGTAAATATCAAAATTGTCTTACCATACCATGTCTAGAACGATTCCGAGTTATTAAACTGTAGTTAGAACAAGAAGGACTATTATTAATTTGTAGTTCGTTTTCCCTTCCTTTCGTTTTTGACTGCAAAACGTTTGAAATACTTTTTCTTTAGAACATCCATGCAGGACATGCGGTTATGGGTGGAGGGGATACAGATTAGATAAAACAATGGAAAGGGAGACAGCAGTTTAACTTTTATCGACTTTCATTCGTGATACCCCTACTATTGGAACAATTGTGAAGAGTAAAAAAGCAACTTTTTTTGTCGTTCTTTTTCTTCTTTTCTTGTGCGCCTTTTTCTTCTTTTTTCATTTGTTTATGGTAACTTCTGATGAGTGTTGCCTTGTGCACGTGTGCAAAAGACATATCTATACGAACGTCAATTACTTTTAATAAAAGGTAAGTTTTAAACTAAAGCGAGAAAATGTAGTAGTGTTGTTATTATTGTGTTCTGTCTTGTACTATTTATACATGAATATTCTTTAACGGGCATGCTTTTTTTTTATGAAGTTTGTTCTTATGTGCGAACACGAGCAGCAAAAGCAGTATTTTAACAGAACTTCTAAGTTTGAATTTTGCCTATTTCAAGTATCTGTATTAAATAGAGTAAATGACTTTTAATCAACAAACAAAAATCATCATTTTATCACTTAAAAAGCAAAACGTACTGAAATCAAATGTTCCAAAATGGATCTCTTCCTTTTTAATAAGGTCTATTTATATTCTTATTAAAATTAAATGCCTTTGGAAAATATCGGAAGCTGACTCTTCATATCAAATGTATATTGAATTTATCAGAACGAAAACAAGAATAGTAAACGCCTTTGTTTTGTTTCTTAACTTTAGTGTTAGTGAAGATGAGCTCTGTAATAGCCGAAACAAGAATTACTATTGGTGCATCCATCGAAAAAGTTTGAGAAATTATACTTGACACAGCTAACTATCACAAATGGAATCCTTTTGTGATTCGCGTGGAAACGGAAGATGATGTGACGCAGGAAGGGGCTAAGATGAAACTGTATGTAAAATGGGCAAATGGCAAAGAAGATAGTTCGGATGAAATAGTGACGGATACAAAACCCCCACATGTTGACAGTGCGGGGTATAAACGCGCCCACTGGAGTTATCGCTTTGACGGCTATTTGCATTATTTCGGTTTGGTCCGTGCTACCCGTTACCAATGGTTAGAACAACAATCAGATGGAACGACTAATTACCACACTCGTGAAGAATTTAGTGGTACGCTTCGTAATTTTGTTCCGTTGGCTGATGTTCAGAATGGATTTGAAAGACAGACAAAAGCCCTGAAAGCATGCGCTGAAAGGAAATAAAACAAAATAATTCGAGCACAGCAGACGAAATCGATTGTGTCATACCAAACAAACCAGTCAATCGTTTGCAACATCTTAAAAAGAAACTATTACCAGTAGATAGTCGTTTAACACTGTGTTGATGATACAAAAGATTTTAAATCTCTAAGAAAAATATTTGCTTGTTTTGACCACAACAACGAACTTTGAAACGTTTATCTTAAATAGTCTGAACCTTCTCCCAAAGATTCCTTTCCATTTCTTACAGTAAATAATTCATCACCATCTTTCACCAGTATTTGAGTTGGCCTAAATCCATGCCTCGCATTAGGAGAGCAGTTGGTCTTCTGTTTGATTCACCAACTCAAAACTTTCACAGTGGTCCTCTATTCTGACCAACTTCTTTCTCAGTGTGCATTAATGGTAGCAAAACCAATTTTATCTTTCGAGTAAGTTAAAGATAAGCCTATAGCCCTTTCATCACAGTGAGCTACATATATCACAGGCAAATGCTGATTTTCAACCGAGATTATTTAACTTTAATCAACAGATAAGATTTAAGAGTGTATTATTTTCGCTATATTAAGCATGGAACAGACTGATTGCTCGCGACATGTTTTGAGTTCAGAGACAGAATAGCTGATTACATTAGAAAAAGACAAAAAGCCCTCCTCTCTTTGTGGAACCCAGGTGCTCACATTCATTGCTCGTTCAAGATGTAAGTGTATCACCCCTTATTAGCAGATTAAACAGATTTTCAACTATTCCCAGTTCAAGTGGTAAAAGAGTAGGTGGTAGAAAACTTGATCTCGACCTGCTGGAGCATCTGCTTTTCCTAGTTACACGTGTTATCGACTTTTATCTTGTTTATTCTTTTCTTTTGCTTAGTCAGTTGTTCTCTGCTGCTTCGCTCTATTATTTTATTCCTTTGTACTTTTACACTGTAGGTTTTGAGTTCTACACATTATTGAGTAAACTCTAGATGAAAATTTACTGATCTGAAGAAAAAGTAGTACTCTGCGTTGAAGAAGACAATAGAAATTCTAAGAAGTCATCCGGTTCAGGAACAAATGAGCTAGTTTGACGTGCGCTGATAAACAAAATTTTCTTATAATAAGATAGGGTTATCTGTACGAAAAAAAGTAACATCAAAACTAATGTAACAGAAATGTGCACATTTACAATGTTCAATAAACAAGCGAATGCATTCAGTATCTATATCAAACATTTTATAACTACTATATCAATAGTCAATGAAGTTTGTGTTCAATCTGTTTTAAATAGTCACCTTGTGGTGTTGAACTCAAAGCATCTTGTATTTAAACATCATAAATAATTTGATTTACGGGACAAAAACGCAGACATTGAGAACGCAGAACATTAGTGACTGGTGTTGTTAAATATATTTTGGATAATTTTGTTAGTTTTCAGTTAACTGGCGCTGCTTCGTACAGGCTCGACAAAAGAACTGATTTTGATAGCTATTTCATCGAACCGAAAATTGAGTGTCGTTCACATACGTACCGCCTCAATATGGCCAGTCCATGAAAGATCGACAAAAGGATTATTCCCAATTATTTAACTTTCTCGTATTCTTTTAACGGATTGTTATTAAGAGTTAGGGACGGAAGCATCAAAACACGAGTACGATACTAGCGTGCCGAGAGGGTAATGGATTCATACTTAACTGGAATTAAGTCGAATACACCACTTATCTGACCAACGCTGTACCTGTACAAGATCCCTGTTTAAGGTGTTGCTAGACTTGCGTAGATCTGGTTGACGGTTTGATCAATATCGCGTCATCAGCAAACAGTTTTAATGTACTTTCAATCTCCAGTGGTATGTCATCTATGCATATAAGAAACAGCAAGGGTGACTTTGACTGCTCGTTGCAGTTATGATAAAGCGGCTAAATCCTTAAAAATGCATGTGTAGTGGCAAAATTAAATTACTATACGAGAATTAACATCTTCGAGGCATCGGTAGTCGCTTATGCAGCATAGGATAGGCGATGGTCGAGTATTCTAGTACCAGAGCTGCGCAATGTAACTGGAGCTGTTGTGACGGATACAGACGAGAAAGTTGAAGTATTAAGGGGTCCCCACAGTGTGCATTTAGACGAACATTAGAAAGGAATGAAAGTGAGTTTTTCATCAATTTAATTAGTGATCAATATACTTCAGGATATATTTGTTTGATGTTGTTCGAAATATACATCAATGATATACTTGGATGGAGAAAATAGAGAATTACCGGCAGAATTCCGATCTTTTCGGTCCTGATTTACAAAGAATGCACTTTCTCAGGAATGAAACAAATTGCACAAGATTTGATCAAAAAGCACTAGGTGACGGACAGCATCCCAGAGGTGAATATGCTAACTTCTCTATTGCGAATACCAAGACATTTTAGGACTCGGAATCATTATTTTCGGTCGAGGAAATAAAACTCCCGTTTTTCTTCCTCTTTCTTTCCATAGAAGTTCAAATAAATATTTTCCGTGCGATGGATCATAAAGGTATAATAAAAGAAACATAAGGGGTCACAAAAGGAGAGGGCGATCATAACTTTGTTGCCAAATGTCAAGTTATGAATGTTATGAATGATATGAATGTTCGACAGTCTATGCACAGTCAATGACAAACATGCCTTACACTATCATACATTCATGTTTGACATATGTTAAGTGCCGTCATGACACAATTTATGCTCTCATGACACAGTTTTATGCTGTCATGGCGTGTGTCAAGTAGATACGCATAAACGGTCTAACATTCATTATTCATACGTTCATATGACATATGTCAAGTGCTGTCAAGACTGTGTCATGGGTAAGGATGTGCGGTAACCAGTAATTTACCGTCGGTAACGGTAAAAGCCTTTTTACCGCGGTAACGGTAAGATGTACCGAAAAACGAGATTACCGCGGTAACGGTAAAAAATTTTTTACCGACGGTCCGGTAAATACTTTTTACTGAATTTTTCTCCGGTAAAGTTTTTTTTACCGAATTTCGAACTTATGTCTTTTATTTTGTTTTTATTTCTTTATTCCCTTCTAATTCTGACCATGCGGTGATATAAATTCATGCATTCTGCGTTTAGGTGAGGGTGAGCATTTAGTATATCTGGACGATTAATGCAGAATCGTGTTAATCTCAAAGAAAGACAAACTTTAATTAATTCTAATGGACAAGGATTTTTTAGAGAACGGAATTAGGGCTGAAAAGAGAACAGTTGTCTATTTATGATCAAATTTGGACTGATTAGAGAACGGTCAGAATTATGGAACGAAAAAACCGAAAAGAGAACAGAATTAGTGCTGAAAAGAGAACGGTTCAGAATTATGAGTCCAAAAGACTGAAAAGAGAACGGTCATACGTTCGAATAGTGAATTATTATCTATATATATCTTTCATTACCTGCAAAAAAATATTATACAAAAAAATGCAAATAGATATGATATTTCAAAAAAGTAGAGCAAGACTAGATTTTTTTGGTCCACCACGTTTTTTTGGTCCTAAAGGCATACGATCTTTTGAGATTACATGATAGCCAAAAGCAACTGCAAGTCCAACTGTATGTTTACAAACGTATTCTTTGCAAAAGAACCTGCACGAACAAAAGTTTTGTTGAACCGAAACTATGTGAGCAGATTCATACCATATCTTAAAGTGACTGAATGATGAAAATGCATTGCTACCAAAACAATTAATCCACTCTTGGATACTCATTATTGGATGTGATGTAGGAACAACCGTTTCAAAAATATTCCATGGAATTGGAGTTGCATATTTGATAACATCTTGAGACCATTTTAGTGCTAATGTTTCTAGTTCTTCACTTATAACAACATTTTGCGAAAACCCAGCCACAGTCAGTTTTTCAGACCAGTCTACCAGCATTCTTTTCATTGTCGATAAAAAACCGGACAATGGCAATCTACGTCGTAATGTATAATCATTTTTACTTTGCCGTTCATACTTTCAAGCCCGTTATTGGTTAACGGGTGTCTTAAAGCAGCCCCTTCAAACCAGTATTTTAGTTTATCGATCCATTCTTTTTTGAAATATTCTTTAAACGCATGTAATTGTTTATCACTCTCCCTACAATACCCAGAAATTTAACCAACAACAGAATGATGATCGTGTAATAGAGGAGCAACCTATCACTTTTGAATCAGTAAATTAGATGCTATATCAAACAGATATTCATTGCAGCATAGTTGTATGAAACATATGTCACGATCCAGCTCGTCCCATTTGTCTTTTGGTACAAGTGTTCTGTGAGCTCTACAGCGTCTGATTACATGAGGCCAACACATGGGTCTTAATGCTGCTGGAAATTCTTGTTGTTGAGCAGACGTTAAACCTTTAGACCCATCGCACATAGCATAATTCACGACATATGCTTGATGAGTAACTAAAGGAACTGACCATTTTAGTGTTTTAAATAGTTCTATATAACAAGTAGCTGCTTCATCGCTATTCACTAATGCTATTCCATACGGGTGAAAATGACGTTGAGAATCACTTGTCCCACAAATTAGTAAAGGAAAATCATTCCAGTTTAATTTATACGTACCGTCAACTTGTAAATATGTTGACTTACTACTAGCTGATAATAAACGTCTTGTTGTCATAAATATAAATAATTCATCTATATTCAGTTTGAAATATGGCACAAATAATGAATCAAGGTCTGTCGGTAATGGTAAAGCTGAATGTAACATACACCAGTCACGCAGATCTTAAAGCGAAAAGGCAGAAGGACGTTCTTTTCTACGATAATATTTGACTAAACTTTTCACTTGTTGTCGAGTTGTTCCAGAATGAGTTTTTCTACAAAAAATTCGAAAAATTCTCTTTTCAGTCCCGTTCTCTAAACGGTGTAAAAATTTAATAATTCGCACTCCGTTCTCCATTCAGTCCAAACTCCGTTCTCTTTTCATACTTTTTCCAATTCTAATAGACGATGTTTTAGACTAGAAAAAGAATATGTAGCGTCGAAATTTGAACTGTTGTTCATGACTCAGATTACTTTTATTCATTTGTCTGAAGAACATTTAGAAGCACAAACATTAGAGTCATTCAAATACGATATAGATCATTTTTTAGATATATTTGATCTTCTCCTTACTTAAGAAAATCAAAATCTGTATTTCCGCTAACTCCCTATCTCTAGGCCGATTATATAATAAACGGTCCTTTCTGAAGCAAACAACATTTATTGAAACGAGACAATGGTAAAAAATAATGACCGGAAAAATGAACGGTAATAGTTTTTTTACCGAGACAAAAAATCGGTAACGGTAAAAGAGTTCTTACCGTACGAAATTTATCGCGGTAACGGTAAGATGAATTTACCGAAAAGCGAGATTAGCGCGGTAAAGGTAAAAAAATTTTTACCGTACTAAATGTATCGCGAAAGCGGTAAAATATTTTTACCAGTTGCCGCACATCCCTAGTCATGGGTATCTAATTGACACATGCCATGACAGCATAAACATGTGTCATGAGAGCATAAATTGTGTCATGATAGGACTTGACATATGTCAAACATGAATGTATGAATGATGAATGTGTCATGACAGGACATGCATGGACATAGATCGCGATAGTGGTCCCAGCACGACGATTCATCCTCCTATACTTATCAAAACTTCATCAAGATATTGGTGGTGCCAGAATATCGGTCTGGGAGGAGGTTAGCCCCAAGACTTTTAAAATATGACGGAGCTACTATAAGCTTTTGTATTTATCGACGGCTTTACAAGCATTGCTCTCACTCACCACTTTTTCGAGTTTGAAGTTTTGGCTCGAATACACGACAAAAGTGAATGTAGCATATTCTTGCGTTCTGAATAGAGTGAGATTGAATTTAATATCACATAGTAAGCTGGAAACCACAACTGAAAATCTTTTATATTTGTTTTTAACATGTTCCATGTGAATCGAATTTATGACTTCGGGAAAATATCTGTGGCTCAGTTGAGTGCTCATCGTACCCGTTTTTCAGTGTAGATGGATAAAAATCATTATATCAGGCACGTATTTCGACTATTGGCCCATGTGGCGATACTTTTGAAAGACTTATTTATAGCTCATTTTGAAGCCCGTGTAATTCTCTATCGAATTATATACTTGAAAAGTCTTTTAAAATCAGCGTTGAAATAAAAATCACCGATAACGAGAAAATTTGACCCTTTTGGGGTCAGCTATTACCACACCAGGACATATGGATCCGATATAATTACCAAGCATATTATAGATTTCGATCTTGCAATCACATATATGGTCTCAGATGTCAAAGACGAGTTGCCAAAAAGCGTGAAAAATTGCAAATATCGGAATTTAAGGTTTATCAAAAACTTCGTTGCCATACTGTTTTGAGAACTGCTGTGGTAGGCCCAAATATTTTGAGATTGCTTTTCAATAGTTTTGTTCATCTAGTCTTCTGGCACTTTTCCGCAAAATATCTTATTGTATCACGGTGTTGTTATGGGTGAAAACTAATTTTTTTGAGATCCTATGTTGCGCAAAACTATTTCTTACCTGAAGTAACATTACAAATTTCTTTTCAAAATGAACTGTTAGATAGGATCAGCAGTGTATTCGATAGAGAATTTGTTGGTGCACATAACGATATGTAAATGAGCATTAGAAACACTTCCTTTCTTCTGGGAAAAAAATGTTTCTCGGCGTATATCAATTTTTGCTATTTCTGAAAAACGAATTTTTTTCACAGTAAAGAAATTATTTCAAAGCAAAACCAAGATGGAAGCAAAACCATATCCTCGGATACGCCTTGATGAGCTCTATCGAACCATATAATCTGTTTGCAAAAATTCAAATCTTTTCGTATCGTACAGTGTCATTCACGAAAAATTCGACTATTAAAAAGTGTTTTGGGATTTGAACATCGAATTTTCAAAATTTCACAATTTCCTCTGTTAATTCGGTGTCAGATTTGATTCTGACCAACATTTATAACGAAACGTTTGTTCCAAAGCGCTTCCCTGAAGCGAAACTGTGCTCAAAGGCACACTCATTCTGACGATTTAGTGGAAATTTTCAAGTTCTTTTTTAACAAGCAGTTGGTGCAATCCAGAAACTTTAAAAGCGGTTTCTAATATACAAAGCATCACGCTGAACACGATTCTGTAAGTCTTTCTGAGATGAAAAGCTACATCTGTTAAGCCTACAAGCCTTTTTTTAATTCAAGTATTTTGTTCAATATTTCCAGAATTTGGCGCTTAGAACGATATGCACTCACAATAAACGCCGTTATGAGCACTTAAAAATATATTGGAAAGGCTAAAATAGTGCGTTTTGTAAGGTCTGAAATTGCCTATCGAACGAGATATTGCCTGATATTTTCCATCGTAGACTGACTGCACAAAGCAGACTTCTTTCCAGTAAAACATAAATAAGTATCAGTAATTACCAGTAATTAATTAATTTCCGAGGGGAGGAAACAAAAATTTTTCTTTTTCTTTTTATATCGTTCATGTGCATACTTTTTGCTAACTTTTTATGTAAAAATTACGTCTCTATCTGGTAAGGGAAAACTGCACGAATTTAGCGAGTGTAGCTCATCTTAAGGTCCCTACCGTCAGAAACAAAAGTTTCAGACCGACTCATGGTCGAAGATCTTGAGATTCAGTTAAAACCGAGAATTCTGATCGTGTATTTGAGCTAAAATATCATACCCTGTTGTTGATGATGAGTTGAAAAGCTCTACATTTATACAAACTGAGATTGTCAGCAATTTTGCCATTGGGCTTATGCCAAAATACGATCAGAATCTTTTAAGGATACGCCTCGCCTTTTTTTTTGTAAAAATTGCATTTTGACCTGAACATAGTCTAATGTAGAGGAAAGTCTGTGTTATAAAATGAGACCACTCTCAGCTCTCCACGACCGTCCCCAAAAAACTTATGAAGTTTTTAATTTTTTCCTTCAAAGCCTCGAAAACCTCAATTTTTAGTTTTGTAAATTTTCCCTCCTTTCTAGGGATGCACCGAGACGGGGTACTCGATACCCGAAACTTTAGTCTCGAGTAGTCTCGAGTCTCGAAGTTTCGGTCTCGAATAGTCTCGAGTCTCGAGACTTTAGTCTCGATTAGTCCCGAGTCTCGAAAGTTTCGGTCTCGAATAGTCCTGAGTCTCGAAAGTTTTGATCTCGAATAGTCTCGATATAAAAGTGCCGGTAGCAAAACTTTCCGAGACTTTTTCTAGACGATTTTTTTTGTTCTGTATAGAAGATTTCTTTGGTGAAATATGTACTGGACGTAATGTCGAAAGACATTTTTTTGTAGCAGATATTTTGCAGGGTAACTTTTTTGATACTTTTAATCACTAAAAGTGAAAACTTTATGTAGCGTATAAAGTTAGGTAACTAAGCGTTACTTATTTTAGTTTTCTTCGGTCCCGTAGTCCCGAAAAATTAACAAGCTCCTAGAAATGCAACAATTTTCCAGAAAATGGCATCTTGTTTTTTCATAAATTCAAAAATACCATTTCTTGTACGGCTGACCAATAGAAAAATGAAAGCATATATAGAGGCCAAAAATCAAGTAATGGCTGAAAAACGACTAAAATCTAGTTTGTTTTTTGAATACCTTATTTCTTCTCGTGTTTATTATAATTGGCTGCTTAAGAATGTTTATTTCTTATTCGAGCCAGTCTTCGTGCGGAAGAGAAAAATGCTCTTGTCTCTACTTATTATATGTAGTCCTATAGGCTGTTTCCGTACTATAACAGCGTAGTAGTCCAGCATGCCTTGCATCTGCACTGTAAAAAATAACGGCGTGAGCCATGAGAAGCTTATTAGCTTTTCTGACGAGAGAGCTTTTCTCTTTTCGAGACTTTCGAGACTCAAGACTACAGTATCGAGGTTTCTCGATACTTCTCGTCGCGGTGCATGCCTACTCCTTTCCTGTATAATTAAGATGTTTTCTTATAAATAGTCTGATAGAAGAAAGTGTGTTGAAATAAGATGCCTTACAGAATTTTCCGATGAGTTTTCGTGGAGATATAAGCATCACCGCAAATGTCCTGGAAAACAGAGTCCTGTGTACAATATGTATCTTTCTCACAATGCGTTTTTTGCTAGTTCTGTCAATCTAGTCACATTACGACCCCTCAAAAAAAAATGATCCGATCGAACTTAAATTTTACCACAGATACTTCAGACTCTATCTCAGGAGTGAATTTTTTTTTAAGCGTTTTCTATTTCAGCTTTCGATGTGGGAAGGTTTTTAAAAGCAAATACCCGTTTTCTATACAGAATTTTTAGTATTTTTTTAATATCTCGAGAAGGAAAACATATTTTTCGAAAAGCAAAATTTTTCTCTTGAGATAGGTCTAAAGTATCTGTAATAAGATTTTGAGTTGAATCGCATAATTTTTTCGAGGGGTCGCAATGTGACTGGATTAAAACTGGAATTTTCCAGAAAACCCATAGAAGAACATCTGAAAACATTCTAGGCAAAAAGACATCGATTTCTTTTACAATGTTCTATCTCCGATATAAATTTGAGCACAATCGGGCGTGTACTTCGCATTTGACAACAAGGTGAAAAAAAACAAGGTGGGGGGGAGTATCCTTAATAATTTTGTCTTGCGGAACCTAGCTAATTTTCTACAGTTTAACGTGGCTGGGATTTTACATCAGCGCAGAGGCACTAGCACGATGATACACCAACCCCGCGTTAGTTGGATGCATACAAAGGTTTTTGTTGGTGCTCTGTACGTAACGTATACCAAAAATCACCGTCTCAAGTAGAAAAATCAAGTTTATTCTATAGCTACAGCTAACGAGGGAACCCGAGAAAAGAATTTACAAGATCCCAACGAGATTTTGATAAGCAGATGATGGTAGATAGATGATTGATTGGCCTAATTGTTGGTGAAGAAACTTTTCGAACAGGTGAAATACAAAACAAGATACAAATTTCACACTGAATAGAATATTTGCTTATACACAGATCTCTGCTGAGTATTGTTTTTCCACGCTTTGACTACACTGTAATAGCAATTGATTCTCATCATTTTATTTTAGCATCTCTCATTTCCTAGATGACAACAAAAGAACACATCCTATGGATGAGATCAAATAAATAATAATAAAAACGAATTGTAAATCCACAATCTATTACTTCTTGTTCCGACTTGGATACTGTTTGTTGTGTTTGCTTGAGAAAATTTGCTGGACACCAGACATTTTTTTGGCTAAGGATAGAAAAAATTTCATATCGTTGGGTTTCGGCAGTTTTTCTTCATGAGCCACAATTATTTCCAATGATTTTTTGACCGATGAAAGTACAAGAAGAAAATCTGATAGAAGACTGTATGTTTCACCACGTAATAACTGATTTTCGTCGATCAACAATTTTTCTGATCCATGTTTAAAGAAATCCAATGCATAACTATTCAGATGGTATGCTGAATTTGTATGGTCACGACAGTCAACATCGACAAATGGAACTATTCGTGGTGACAAATTGAGATCATAGGCAAGATCCCACGAACCAACTGCCGGATTGTAGACTGACATGAATCGTTGATGTGTCAAACCGGACGGACCGGCAAACGGAGAGATCGATGGATTTTGAGATTGTTGTGAATAATGATGATGAAGATCATACTCGAATGTACCATTATCATAATCGGTTGAACGAGCAAATGAAATATTGGAGAATGGTAAGACATTTTCTTGACTGTCAGCGAGAGAACGCATACGCCGTGTCACATTTTCTATATAGAAACCATATACATCTTTGACAACTGAATTGTACGATTGTAGACGATCTTGAAATTCATTCGATATTGATGGGAGAAATAACTTTGAATTGTACATTCGGTGCCGTCTCATCGACGAAAGCGTTTCATGTTGTTTATGCGTAATCAACCTATGTGAAATATCAAAAAACATAAGCCGAACAAACAAGATAAACATTGACATACCACGGCGTGTTGGTGAAGAGATATGCAAGTACGGTGACAATGTCATCGTCATTCTCCAGTCCGTGAAACAGGCAAGTGTCCATGAGATACACGAGCAAGATGTTTGCCGGTTCAAAATCATGTAAATGACTCAAGATTCCAGCAAGACCGATTGGATCGCCGTATTTGTTAATTAAATTGAGTCGATGTAGAAAATCGAGTGTGTGCAAACAATGAACGCGAACTTGAATATCGATCAAGAGTTTTTTGCCAGACATTTGTCCGATGAACGGACATTCCAGTGCAACCAATGATCGATTGATGGCATCTTTGGAATCTTCGGAATATGAACACAAGTAAAGAAGACGCATAAGAAATGTGACAGTTGTCGAAAAGTGTGCGTGAATGTTGGGTATAGCCGAAATGGTCAAATGGCGAATTTTTGATAATGGAATATCGAGAAAGACAATGTGACCTTCCACGTCGAAACCACGACGACCGGCACGACCCGATGATTGCCGGTATCGAAGTGCATCAAGATCGATTGAGTCTTTGGCAAAGGCTACCGTTTTTGTCGGCATATGAATACCCAAGGCTAAACAAAGTTTTTCTTTACAAGAGTTTCGGAGAACTTTAAATCTCTATATTACCTAGCGTCCATGTAGAAAAGATGATCTGAACGTATCGATTGCGAAAGAGAGCTTCGACCGCTACTCGACCCTTGTTATTCAATCCAGGATGATGATAAGCAACACCTCTTTTCATATAGCCAACCAATCTAGGATTTTCCCACGATGCTCTTTTTAATAATGTCTCGACCAATTCTCGATCACATCCATGTCGGTTGGCCAGTGTACCTTCTTCCAGTACACCGTTGAGTAGATCTTGCTCGTGTCCAGACAATTGTGCCTGGTTATTGACATCATCTTCGATCATTTGCATTTCAGTCGCATTATTATCACCATCTTCATAGTCATCAAGAGCTCGTTTAGCCGACGATTTAGCCATTTTCTTTGCCATCGCTACTTTGCGAGATTTCTCAATTTGTTTCATTCGTTTTTGGAGTGTTTCAATTTGATTCTTGTACTTTGTCTGTCGGAGACCGCGTTCAATCTCTTCAAAATAATCAGCGACACTTGCAGCTAATTCTTCACACAGTGTTCGACTCTCCGAAAAGACGATGCATGGCAAGAGATTTTTTTCTTTAAGTGTCAACAAAAATTCGACGATCAATGTCGACATGCGTTTCGGTTCTGGATAGTGAACTTTGTTTGAAGTTGTGACACTGAGTGATGTAGCAATAGAATCGATGACTGAATTTTGCTTATTGGCAATTAAACGATCGAATTGATTGCAGACAACACGCGAATAAGCATTGCAAGCACTCCGTTCAGTAACCCATGCGGGCGCAAAGTGTTCGGTCAGTGTGGGTATTGGTCTGTGTTCCATATCGCCATTCGTTGTGGCGCTACTACAACAGAACCAGATTAAGGCTTTCTTTTTCTTATTGAGGGATTATCCAATAAGAAAGTCCGTCAGGTTTTCGATCTTAGACGTTCGCATTATTTCGAAGTCCGTTGTCCGTAAAGTAAACGATGACAGGGAAAGGTGTTGCTATCCAGACAACTTATCTGAGGTGCGAGAACAGAAACATTTCGTGACCTTTTTTACCATTCTAGAAGAGGCGATGCCGAGCACACTGAAGAAGGGGAAGGATCAATCATATTTGTTTAGTTCGGTCAATATGATCAAAGAGGAGAAGCAAGTCTTCTGAAAGAAGCAAGTCTTTTTGAAAGAAATAAAGGATAAAACAGGAAGAAGGATGAGATGGCTAGCTCAGTTGTTGAGCAAAACTAAGCTAAGCGCTAAGCCTTTGATAGTTCAAGGTCAAAAGCTATTTGGATCTGCCATTAAGACTTGCCCTTCAGCTGCAGCTACAGCAAAAGAACTGTTCTAGCATTACTTCAAAGAGTATGATAGCTGGTCGTTGATGTTCGAGACGTATAGCATTCCTTAAAGGAAAAAGAAAAATCATAAAATTTTGTTGTGTATCTGCGGACCTCTCTCTGCACCCTATTCATTTTCGGCAATCTCCTCTTTAACAGACATCCTTTCCACATGACCTCATATCAACTATGTACATACTTAATATCGACTGCTAGTTTTTGCATTGCATCATTGAGTAGTAGAGTCTCACAAGGTGACAATGAAAAATCTTTGGGTACACCACGAGTTGTCAACTGTTTAGCATTCATAAGACCCACCGGATGAAGAGGATACAATTGCCGCTCTGTGTACAAATACTTGTTCAAATCGGCCATACGTTCATAATATGCAATGAAGCACACTTTACCAGGTAATGCCGTTTTGAAGAGAACAGCTCGTCGTTCTTCAATACTCTGGAGCCAACGACACATATCCTCGCCATTGTTGACTGTTGCCGAAAGGCCAATCATGGAACAATTAATAAGTGACATTGTTCGTCCCCATACATCAGATCCAATCTCGCCCGACATACAATGAATTTCATCAAAAATGGCATATTGAATTCGTTTACACCAACGCTGATTAGCCGGCGTTAGAAGAAGCATTTCCAGACATTCTGGGACAGTTACCAGGATACGACACGTATCCATATTCATGCGATAGTCTCGCGTAAAAATGCCGAATACAGCACCAAACCTGGAATAGACCGTAGCTGAAACAAAAATAAGTAAGATTTTGCGAAAATTCATCTCGGAAAAGAGAATGACTCACCGGCGACTTGATTGACAAGCGCCTTGGTCGGTGCTATGTATACACAGACTGCATTGAGATCGTCCTTGAGTACTTTATTCATAGCATAGTAAGATGCATATGTTTTACCTAAACCAACAGAAATGAGAAAAATAAGAAAATATAATGCTTAACTAACCGGAAGCCGTAGGCGCGACGATAATGATCGATTGACGTTTATCCACAGCATCGAGAAATTCGACTTGCCATTTGTCCGGAATGAAATCAGGTGTACGATCATCGGGTATACCATGTTCACGTCTTGGCAATCGACTATTGATCTTTTCCAGTTGAAATCTATACCATTTTTCCGTATCCAATGCTGAATCGTCAACAAGTTCTTCCATAAATTTTTTCTTTTCATTGAATGCATCGACTATATTTTCAAGATGAGCCATTTCGGTCATTGTGGCAAAGTAACTAATTTGAAGTAAATTCAATTTTGATTTCTCTTCATCAGTTAATATATTCTTTTTTTTGAGTGCACGTAAATATTTTCGTTGTAAATCAAATTTTCGTTTGAGTAATTGAAGACGTTTTGTTGGTGTTTCAAAATTGACTAAATGTTTATCTAACAGATCGATTGCTTCGGGCCAATTGTCAAGTGGAATCTGTTTGATACGAGCTTCCACGGTAGCCATCTTGTCAGTCTCATCAACGAGACGTTTGTCTGCTTTTCGTTGTTTATTTTCTTCAATTATCTTTTGCGCCTTTGTCTGTTGGTCCATTTTCGGTTGCTTCTTGTGTTGTTGTTTTTTGTTCTTGCCGTCAGCGCTGTGCGAGGCAGTAGCAGTAGTACTTTTACCAGAGTCAGTATCTATGTTTGTTGGTGCTGGCGTCGACGCAGTAGGGAGAACGATCTGTAGTTGACTATCTTTGATGTCTCGACTTGTGAGCGAATGGCCATAGAGAGTGAAATAGGCATAACTAAAAGGTAATTTCATGAATATAGGGAGAATAATAGATGCTATTTGCGAGCTCTCATAAAGTCACTCGCACACAAAGTTTAAATTTAGAATCAAACTTTTTAACTTTCCTTCCGGCAAACTTTCGGAGCCTCTCGACGGATGGTTTCCTCGAAACTGTTGCCGTGAAATATAAAACGCGATAATTTTGAACGAAAGTTCTGTTTTATTAGAGACAAAGGTGGCTATGCGGGGTTCTAGCAATACCAGGAGCTACGCTGATAAACATTATGTTGGAAGAATAGATTCATATTAGAAGACTATAAAATACTGAGACAGGGTGCAGGTATGGGATTTAGAGGTATATGCAAGGGAAGAAGCAAGATTGTTGTGGCTCTCGTAGCCACTAGACAGCCTTGCGAGTCCGTTAGGAGCGCCGAAGTTAGCTTCTTCGTTCAATAGATATAGGTATAACCCAATGCATGTAATCAAAAGTATTTGTCTAAACCCTGTATGAATGTATGCTATGGATTTTACTGAACGATCGCGTTAGAAAGTAAGTCTTATCTACCTATGAAAATAAAAGCCTCTCCACTATTAGTAGCCGAAAACAGGCTTTTATGCTCTGAAGAAATGAAACAAACTCACTATTGTTGTTGATTCTTGGTTCGAAGACGGTGCTTGCTGGCGTTTTCGTATTCCTTGTCGTTGTCCCGTACACGACTTATCTCATCGCCGACCTATATCAAATGAAAGATTGTAGAACTGTCTGAAGTATCAACAAAACCTTACTTCTTTGTATGCATGCCAATAATGCTTGCCTAGAAAGGAAGAAAGAAAGTTGTTGTAGGTATGAAGATAAGAGAAGCTCATGCCTTGATATCGAGTCACTTGACAATCGGCTGGATCGACCAAGTCGAATGTTGGTTCATTATTTGATGAAAGAATCGGTTTGAGGTACGTGTCAACGAGAGGATTTGTAATATGACGAATTTTTTGGTGTTGCTGTTTGCTCATTTTTGATTGTCTTTCTGATGGTGCTGGCGAACAGATGATATCCTTTGACTGGATCATATCTTGAAATACATCTTGAAGTGTATTATCACTCGATGATAAATTCAACACGGTTAAACTCTCTTTAACAATGTCAAATGTATTTGAATCGAGATGAATCTTTGACTGATTCATCTGATGGATGGTAAAGACAAAAAGGCGTCCATCGAACAAATCGGCAACTTTTGACCAAGATGGAGTCGATGGTAAATTTGACGATAGAGATGTAGTGAGACGTTGTTGGAATTGGATAATAAGTTGAGAAAGAATTGGACTAAATGTGACGGAGGGAAATAACGATGGAAGATGACGATCAGCAAGTGACAGACGAACGAGAAGAGCGACATGAAGAAGAAGTAAAGGAATAAGAAGTTTGAACAGTTTCTCATCCTGTTGCCCCTAATAAAATCACAGAGAATGTATTTGATGTTTGAATAAAGAATCCCACCTACTGTTTTATCCTCGATCAAACTAAGAATCGATTGGAAGTAGACGAAAAGGCGCACATCACTCTGACCCGTTTTTTGACACCATTTTTCAAATACTTCTGTCCGATCGTTAACTGTCAGTTGAGATCGAGATGATGTTGTTGTTGTTTTCACAAATTTCTCAAGCAATTTCATTGAACAAATTCGATTAAATTTAATTTGAAAACATTGTGCTGTCGTATCGGTTAATATTAACTTGTTCATCAAATACAAATGACAAAAAATTGAATATTGATGATAATTTCCAAAGAGACGATAGATAAACAGAAGTTGTCGAAGAACATCTTCCGATAAAAGTGCATTTTCATTGTTATTATTCAAGCTTGACATATCATGATAGAAGATGAATAATGGTTTTTCATCACGTGCAAATACAAGATAATCATTGTCAAGCCATGAATTAAATTGGCGCACTTTTGTTAAACCACACTTATTCACATTCTTACATAGATGAGAAATAAGACATGCGCGAAGAAGACCTAGAATGGGCGGTGCTTCGCGGGCATACAGTTCATAGTTACAATCGAAAAAGACAAGAGTGTAATTATGCTCATGTGCTTGATTGAAAAGAGTCAGAAGAATACGTTCAATGATAAAAATAACATGAAGAGTATTGCCATGAAATGAAGCGAGATCAACATGAGCATGATGAGCAACGGACAGAAGCAATGAATCACCGTCGATGAAATAATGAGTGCTATCTCGAAAATCTTGATGTGCATCGAGAAAGCGGGCAGAGTAAGGATAGAGAATATCGATATCGTCCAATGTATATGTTGTTGGGTCTTGCTCTTTGCTGGTGTTCGATAGAAGAGATTTGATAGTGGTTAAAATGGGCTGATGAGATTCAGGAGTAGCGGAGGAGGACATATCCGATGGAAGACATTGAACAAGACGTTTGCGTTTGTCATCGTCGTTCGTAACTTCTGAGAGATGTGAAGAAATTTGTTGAAGAGCGACAGCGACTATTTTCTCGTTGTCCATCTTGGAACATTGAGCAAGAGTACGAAAGTAGAGATCGATAAAGTGATCAGAGCGCTCTTGGCAATAATGAAGAAATTGTAGAAGTCGTTCACATTGACGAACTGTATCCACATAGACATGGAGCCTTTTAAGTGATTGAAGCGCCTAAAACAGTACCATTCACCTCAAGATTATTACTGTTCTGGCTAGAAGTTATACCTTTACAGTCAGAATAACACATTCCATCTCGAACGGCCCTAACGTGGCGAAGTTAGGAGACAGACGCCAACTTTGCTTAGGAGATCCCTTCAATTCCGCGTTCTGTCGACAGAATTATGCGTAAACTTAAAATGATTTTTTCCACACGTGAACAGCTCTGAAAAGAGGGTACATAGGGAAGCCGAAAAAGTTCTATAGCTAGGTATAGTTTCTAGAGGTTTCTTTTTCGGAGAAGAAGTTAAAACATTCATTTATTGCTCAGGAGGGCAGGTGACTGAAAAGTAGCGACTGGATAGAGGGAAGAAAAAACCGAAGGTAAACGATGACGTTACTAATGAACTCGCCACAGAAGCTTCTAGATTTTCTAGAAAACTTTCATCATTTCACCAAATTTAAAAATGTTGCGAATGCAAAAGCTCTTAGATTCGATATTCAAAGTAAGGAATTTCGTGCGAAACCTTAAAAAGTTTCTTTCCCATACACGCGGAAAGAATCTTTTTTCCGAGTGTAGTGTTACATTGTGTTTTCTTCTCATAAAAACAAAGACGAAACTTCATCTTTAGCTTCAAAAACTCGTTAGCCCGATTCGTAGACGCTTCTTGAACACCACTTCTTGGTTGTGTGTAGATGTCCACGAAACCGGAACAAAATTTTGAAAATTCGCCCAACCGGAGCTAAAAAATCTATTTCATAGGTCTATAGATGCAGAGCGCATCTGTCTGTGTGTACGGAGTACGGGCAAACGTTCTGACAATTTCTTCCTCTGTCTTCTAAACATGAAGTTTTCCCAAAAAAATTTCAAACTAAAGTTAAATGATACGGGAATTTTCTGAAAAAAATTATTGTGATTAGCGAAAAGGAAAGTTTTCAAGAGAAAAATGGCACAGTTGGTAAAGTAAATCTTATTTTGCAGCCGATGATGATCGGCGAGTCACTAGTAACTTCTCGGGCTAATTTTAGCCGTTCACCTTAAAAGGATTGTTCTCAGGTTCCCAGAAAGTCTACAAGCAATTTCGGAATTTCAACTGGTTTTAGAACGGCAATGACAACCTATTGTTTTAGTGATCATGTGCATAATAGATTCCCCAGTTCACCATGCAGTCATCGTTTACTGCTGGATTTTCTTAGCGGCTTTGGAATTCTACTAGGTGAAAATCGAAGCTTTACTTATTAGTAAAAAAAGAAGTAGCTCATCAATCTTTTTATGGATCCTCACTTGTCCAAGTTCCACCGATGTCTCTTCTGCGTCATCCGACGACGATGTTTCTTCTTCCTCCGAGCTGCTTTCCGATGGTTCGACACCAGTATTAGACGTTATGGTGGTTACAGCACCTTGATCAGTTCGATTAGTATCTCGCCATTGTTGAAGCTTATATGTGATGACTTGTTCAAACTCAGTTCGATGGTGCGCATGAAAGAGTTCATTATGTTTTTGAATTGCTTGACTAAAACATATTTCCGACGTTGTTTCCGTATCGAGTAAATACTCAACAAATGTTTGAATGCGACTAGTCATTATTAATATTTTGATAAGAATGAATACGTTTGTGTTACAATACTTGAATAAATAGGATTAAGTTAACTGGGTAATTTCGACAAACGTTTTTTTGGTCGAAAAGAAAAGAAAAACTGGTAAAGAAAAGAAAAACGAAAGAAAAGTAAACATCAATATAACAGAACGGAAGAAGTTGGACAATATTCATGACACATTACCTTGATGTGTTGCGTAATCACTGCCACGAGAAAGGAGTACGGTGGTTACTATTTTTTTGCTCTCGTCATTGCTAGAATGTTATGAATTTTTGCTTTCTTTATCTACTCATTAAAGAAAAACACGGTTAGATTGCATCTGATTTGCGTCAGAAAGTTGGCAAAGCAGATGCATTTAGACGAAAAGCGTCTTGTTGAATTGTATCAAGTATAATCTTGTTCGATGACAACCGAAAGATTGCGCAACCAGATGTAGAAGTGACGCTTTCACGCAAATTTCCTTCAAATCACTATCGTCCAATACGGCCGTGAGCGTTTTAGCACCAACACCGATTGCATATTTAGTCTGATTAGGCGTAATTCGTCCGATGAACGACCGGAGGCGTTGGTTGTGATCGAGAGTCAATCGTGGGAAACTGTGGGAGAGGGTGAGCAGCAAGGGTGGTAAGGGTGAGGGTGGAACGGTGAGTATGACATCCGAACAAATTTGAGATTATTTAGGATACCAGAAGAACAAAGAGGATACTGATTTCATTATACTGCCAACAGCTGAAGCTGTGGGACTACCAGTCTTGCTGATGATAGTATTTCACGCTCACATCGAGTGAGAAAGTTTAAGGAAAATGTTACAACTTTCCGTCCTATTATTGTCAGATTCACTTCCTACCGTACGCATTGATTTCTTTACCGAAATCGGCAATATTTATCAGAAGTGGGTATGGAAAATGTGACAGTGAGAGAAGATTTGACGAAGCAAAACTTGAATTTTTATCAATATGCAAGAAAACAGTGTCCGTCCCTTCGGTTCTATGCAAAAGATGGAAACGTCTATTACTATTCGAACAAAGGTACGCAACTGTTTGTACGATCGTGTGTTGATATTAATCAGCTGAATGATGAAACAAATAATAAGAAATAAGATATTCTCAGGTTCAACAGTTTAGTTACGTGAATACGGTCGGGTACGATAGATTATATGAGTATGCAACAAATTTTTCGTTTATTGTAAGAAAGAACGGACAAGGTTATCAAGGCCTTTTTCTTTTTTCGTCCGCTTTTATATCTTCTTTCTTTTTTTTCTGATGTGTGTGGTTAAGTATGTTGCTGACTGCGTGCGTGAGGTTTTCTCTTACTATATCAACAGTGTTATACTATGAGGACTTTTTTAGCAACTATCGGGCGATATAGCTCGATGTTCGTGAATAAAATTAGCAATATCACGATAAGTATCCTGTTTATTGCGATAAATTCACTATCAAGATCTGTAGCCTTACTACTACAGCATGACTGCTTGTTGCCGGAACAGAAATCGGCTTAGTGGAAAACATAGGCAACTCAAAATTTTTGGTTGCAGGCTATCAACCCGTATTTAGACGTGATTGTGTAGGAAAAAGAGATGATGGAATTCTTTCTTTTGCTCGAGAATGATGTATAAGTAAAACAACTCATTTCTTATGAAGAAATGACTTGTTGAATGAAAACTTTGAAGCTCTATTTTTAGACTTAAAACTTTATAAGAGTAAAATCCGTTTAGCAGCAGTATTTTACCGTCCAGATTGAGTTGATCATGTAAATTTCAATGACCATCTTTCGGATGTTCTTCACAAAATTCGTTCTGATACACGCCGTCAATATAGTTCTATCTTACCTATTGATGACTTTAATGCTCATTCGGCTAAATAGTGTCCCACTAAACCGTCAACTATTGAAGGGGACGCTTTTTACGATTTCTCGCTCAGTGAAGATCATACTCAACTTGTTAATTAGCCCACCCGAATTAGACCTGAATCCTGTTTTGATATAATTCTAACTAAAAATTCTTCTTCTGTATCTAATTTAAACGTTGGTAGTTCATTCTGTCTGTCTTGCGATTATTCTATTATTCAGTTTAGTATATTCTCGCTTAGAGTATAAAGGTAAATATATGACTAGTCATAAATATAGATCGGGATGTCTATCTAGATCAATAGCTGTAGTTAGGCTTGCACCAGTTCCAATCTTAGACTTGAAAGATTGATACAATCAGAATTGGTACCTGTTAGGGTTGGATTTTAACAAATGTACGAAATGCGAGATTTAGTTTTATATAGCTACGTGATATATAAAATCTTTGAGTGCAAATAAAATAAAAACACTCAACCGTCTTTAAAGACGTGAAAGTGGCATTAAAGCTCAACGTTTAGACGATTGTTTACTTTAGCAGAGCTTCGAAATCAACAAAGGCAAATTAGTAGTAGATGGCGATACCGCAACATTAGACTGTAAAATGATGAGTCATCGGGTTAACTACAGCAACTATAAGCCAAAAAATTTTTCATACGCGATGGTGGAAGCGAAGCTGATCTATTAATTAAATAATTTTAAAACTACCACTAGTGGACTAAAATAAACCTCGTCAACAGAAAAATAAGAACAAACTTCTGAGAGGGTGATCTTTTTGAGGTAAAAAAGAAGCACGAAAAAATTACTCTAAGCGCATGGTGCAATGACGGTTCCATCTTAGATACGATGAAGCTTTCGCCTACTACAATGGACCATGTTTAACGGCCCCAATTCTAACTGGTACCAATCCTAACTGGAGATTGGTGGGATTAGTAACAAGCCGGACTGGTACCAATCCTCAGTCGGATTGGACTGGTGTATGCCTAGCTGTAGTTGACTGGTCTTCTGCAATTTAACAGTACTCTTCAATTGATGGTAAAATTAAGGCCTTTACAGAAGCTTTTCTTAAATCAGGATTTCTCAGCGACTTGTACACCAGATACCCCGTCTAATCATCAATTTCCTATTCCTCTGTCTTCGGCAGTAGGCGTGAAAGATTTTACGTTTTATACATCAGAAGTATATACTGTTTTATATAAATTCAACTCGAAAAAGCAGTTGCTCCTGGAATTACTGGCAGAATGTTATGGGAGGGCACTTTTTACATTGCACCCTTGCTCACATCTCTATTTAATCTTCCATTAGAAAAGCAACAATTTCCACGTGCATGGAAACTAGGCTATATTCTTTCTTTGTATAAATCAAGTGATATTCATCTGTTAACAAATTACAGACCTATCACTTTACTTTCTGTTGTTTCGAAAGTTTTTGAGCAACACATCTTTAATCGTATTTTTTAATTTCTACTCACTAATCAACTTAGAAATGTAAATCAATCAGGTTTTTTGCCTAATCACTCAACAACAACTCAGATTATAGATATAGTTCATAATATTGTCTCAGCTTTCAATGAGGGGAATCCTGTTCTGGCTGTTTTTATTCATTTTAAAATGGCCTTTGATCGGGTCTCGCATAAGGCCCTGTTGATAAAGTTGAATAGTAAAGGGTTACCTGCTTTATGAGTAGAATGATTCAGGAGCTGTCTTAGTGATAGGAGAACTATTACATTGCTTCGTGGGTTTTTTTTCAGAAGGACAGCAGAGGATGTGCGGCGCCGCAAGATTCAATATTAAGCCCAATTTTATTTTTATTATTTATTGGCCTCAAGCTTTACAGTGTTCATATAAGCTGTTTGCTGATGATCTGTTGCTGAGAAATCTTCCACCTGCATTAGTCCTAGACGGTTCTTCTCTAGTCTACCTTGACAAAGTATCTCATATAGGACTAGTACTAACTCCCAAGTTAGACTGGACTTATCACATAGATTACATTGTTATTAAGTGTTCAAAAATTGTAGGTACTATGAAACTGATGATTCATGCGACATCTTGAGAAGCCTTATGTTCAGCCTACAATGCCTTTGTTTTCTCTATAATTAATTATACCAGTGCCATTTATTCTGGTACCACACAAACTAATTTGAGACATATATCTAGAAGTAGTATCTAGAAGTAGAAATACAGCTACTCAACAAATTCCTGTTCAGCGCCGTAGATTGATGATATATGAAAATTCCTTCATAGCATCATAGCAACTTGTAAGATGTAGAATCAGCTTTCTCTTGTACTTCGCTTGATAACAAATCACGCAGTCACCACAGAAAATCCTTCTGACCTCTGTAGTATATATAATGCTTCTACACTACTTGAATCTGTTTAAACTTTATCATTGTGTTCTTTTATTTATCCAGATATTTTTCTTTGTCGTCTTTCTCTTTCTCAGTGTCATGCAATCTGATTACTGTTTCTTCTATATTAAACTTTAAATCAAGAAAGAATAACAGATGTGATCCAGATAAAAACGATTCATTCTAGTTTTTTTGCAAATAGAACAACAAAGCGGATGTCCCAGAATATATCTCTTTTAGTTTTTATTGTCGAGACTTGCGCTTCTTCTTAAAAGATTCGTCGTTTCATTCTCTACGAAGAATATATTGAACATTTCTTTTTATATACAGTATAAATAAGAGAATCTAGCTGAAATACTGCAGAGCTTCAATTTCCATTATTCTCAAATTCAAAAAAGAGCTTTTCAATATTCTTTATACTTGCGATACAGAATAAGAGAAGATGCCTGCTTTGTAGCTCTTGAAACGCTTTGTCAATTGGCTATGTTCACACTTCATAATCGCAACTGGTTGAGCGCGAAGATTATGTTTATATCAATTTTATCAAAAATCGCAGTTTTGGTGGCATTTATATGGTTTTGGGCGATTTATAAAAATTCTCACATTTTGAAGTCTGATTTGTCTTTTCTTAAAGCAAAATAATTCTTTTGTTACATCCGAACAGAGGAACTTCGATAGCTCCATTTTCTGGCAGTAACAAGGCGAAAAGGTGGCCGTTTTCCTTTTCTTGGTGGACTGTAGAAAACTGCCTTTTGTAGCAGAAAAACAAGTTCGAAGCCAAGCTCTGATACATCAAAAGAAAGACAACACTTGGAGGCATCAGAACATATCTTTTGATTCTACTTTGGCGCATAGCATTATGTTCGACATAAATATCTTTTCGTTGACTTTTGGATTTGAAACTAATGAAAATTCAAGCTTTCACAGTATTTCACCTAGATTCTTTTATTTATACGATATATAAAAAAATGTTCAATATATTCTTCGCAGAGAATAAAACGATGAATCTTTTAAAAAGAAGCGTGAATCTCGACAATGATAAAGGAAAAATACCGAGACTTCCATTTATTCTGGGACGCCCGTTATGTATATATCTATGTACTATCGAAACAACATGAACCATCGTATGAGAGTTCTTTGTGAGATTAGACTGGCTAAGATCAATGCAGTAACTACAAAAATACCGTAGACAGCATAGAGATACAACGATAACTAACGTTTAGGTGTTGAGAAGTATGATCAGATGGACCGTTTTGTTGCTAAATAAAATCAAGAAATACTCAATTCGACTTTCAGATTTCCTTTGCTCACAACTGTCGAGTAGAAAAACACCGTAGCTAATGAGTCCGACTTCCATTTGATGTAGAAGGCACTGGACTTTCACAGACAAAACGTCTTTGACTAAGATCTAATGAAAGAATTAGCGTGGATTCACGAACGAGTATACGATGAGTTGCATTTACACGATCATTTGCAGTGATGTTGAACTGAACACAAGTAAGACAACATTGGCGAAAGTAATAAAAAATAAAAGTATACACGATGACTGTCATCTTTAAGAATGAGAGTCGCATCGAGTTCATGAATAAATCGCTTAACAAACCGAGCATTACGTGTTAGCACTGGCCAATGATTGAATACGATACGAAATGGTGATCATCGGATGATTCTGTGTTTGTTCCATAATTGGTTAACGTTTTCCGTCAATGTACGATTCAAACATATCAATATCCAACGAAAAAACCGAGGTGCGATATTAGACAATCGGAAAACCAGTCGCTACCCTTAGTTACTCTAAGAGATTGAATATTCTGACATTACAAAGCAATCGTACGATCAAAATTATTTCGTAAACGTCTCCTTAACACCGGCTGCTGATTATAGTTGATTAGATGAAATGATGCTTCTCAATAATACATTCGATGGATCGGTTTATATTTGAAATTCATGTCAGTTGCCGAAAAGACGATAATATGATGCACAAAATCTAATGGATAAAACGCATGCAACTACCTGTTATAATAATAATGATGGTGAAGATGTTAAACGATCGCTAGGATTTAAAGAATATTTATGTATAAATGGAACAGATCAACGCTGTTTTATTTGTCAAACGTTTTTAACAACACTGGCCACCGTAATATCATTAGTAGCCAGAATTGATTTATTGGTCAAACATAATGTTTTTGTGTCCTGCAAAGCAAATATTTGCTCGAAACATATATTTAAAGGCCGATTACAAATCGATATTTGCATTAATGAAAATAATTGTTACCCTCTATCTTTAACTGGAAACGGTGCTAGAAATCTTATAAACGATTTAGTTCTATATTTTCAACATGTAAGTGCCGAGGATTAATTAATAGATGTCTTCCAAGGTTCCTCTGTTTAGAGTTTTGCAACACACCATGAGAACTGATTTGCCGATCGACAACTGAACGGCGAAAAGGACGAAGCTCTCGTCAGACTCATTACAAGAAAGGAGATCGATTGGTAAGTAGTTTACCCGAAAAAGAGATAAGTGGATCGATTTGCTTCTTTGTATTCCTTTCAGCTCCCTTTTCTGTACTTTCTGATTTTTGCTGCCCATGCCCAAGCATCAAAAAAAAATCTAGTATCGCCCGATTCATCTAGATTACCAGATTTTTACTCGATTGCAACTATTGAGTAACGACCATGAAAATCTAGTAATCGGGCGATTGCTAGATTTGTTCTAGTTGCTACTATCGATTTATCGTCCGATAATCGATCGATTTAACTATCGTTAGAGACACATGCAGACGCATCTAGTTAAAAGTCCCTTTTCCAACTAGTATCTAGATGGCAACTAGTCGTGCATCGCCCGATTATAGACAAAATGTATCTAGATTTTTCCCATAGGTGATTTTTGCTTGGGTGATTAGGTACAGATTCTTCTCTTCATCTCTTTGGGTTATTAAGGCGACAGCTCTCTCTTGAGTCGATATGATGGGTGGTCCAAAGGACTGCAAATTAGAGTTTCACGATGATCTGATGACGTTCAAACTTGAGTCTGCAGGTGGTCAGATTACGGAATTTCCGGTATCAATAGTGAACGGTGACTTTTTCACCAATTCAGATTTTGATAGGATGAGCTCTCTCTAAAAAAAAATGGTTCAGTACGAAACCTAAAAGGGTACACGGGAATGCTATAATATCAGTAAGATGTCAATAATTAAAAAACTATGTCAAACGGTTTTCGTTACGACCTTGGGAACCTCTGATTCACTTCTTCAAAGAAAAGAACACACGACTTCAACGTCAAAATCAAATATTTCGGAGAAATAACTTCGTAAAGAGCTCTGAAAGGTTTCATTTTATAGGAAATTCATTGCCCTATCGGCACAGATGGTTTTCAGAGAAAGTTTTTCTAGAGGTTTTCTATAAACCCAGTTTTCTGAAACCAGTTTGGAATAACTGACCGAGTTATAGGGAAATGAAGTGACTAATTGGGGTACAACAGCCTAAATTTCGGAAAAAATAGAATATCCTAGGAACAAAACTAAAATTTAAAAAAAAGCGAGTCATACTGTTGTTGTAGAAGTGATGGCTGTTCGAATGAAATGAAAATGATGGCGTTATCGTTCAGCCCGAAGCAGGAAGAATACTCCACCTTAAGGGCTACTGTTACTGTTGCAGGGTACGGCCGTGGCAATTTCCATAGCCCGATATCTTCCTCGCAGTTGACAGGCTTTTGAAATGGCCACCTATCTCGTTACTAGTCATCAATTGCAGCTCTGATCAGAAGGCTAGCCTAACGCAGGGTTATTTTGCCCAATTCTTTGAGCTCCCCATACACACTTCACTAACCACGTACTAGCGTTTCGTAAAGCCACGAGGACTAACCGGAGAAGTTGTGTCGTGCGTCGCTACGTAGTGAGCATGCTGTCAGACGGGTGATCCGAGGAACTAAAACATAGGTAACTTGCCCAAGGTTATTACATGACTTTGTTAAAGCCAAGGTTTGGCCCCAGTACCTTTGAAGTACGTGACGAACAACATAATCATCAAGCAATACTGCCTCTTAACCCGAAGAACTAGATAGGTTTGTAAAATGCGCGAACACGTTTTCTTCGCCTCTTTACGATTACCCACCGAAAAGTCACATTTTTGTTTTGAAACTTCGAGATATAGTCTTCTAGATGCAGTTCCCATTTCTAAATTAGAATAAAATTGTTTTGAGAATTCAAAACGACCTGGAGCCGAGCTGCTAAATGTTTCTGAAAAATTAGCCGTTTGTTGAAATTTTAGACCCTTTAAGGTCTTTGAATCTTTCACCTTTAAAAACGTTTTTAAAAGACGTATATTCTCAATCAGCTCAACTAACAGTATCCAACTATGTGTAAATATTGCAGAAAACAAATCTGAGCGATTTTTGATTTATTGGCACCTTACATCATTGTCTTTCAGGCTCGAAGAGTTTGCTACGTTATAAAAGAATAAAAACATTGTCGCTTCTAAAATCTGCATTCTGATAGCCAATCAACTTAGAAATACGCGAACGTAAGGTGTTAATAGAAAAACTCCGTACTCCAGCTTGTCTGATTAACGTACGGATATTTCTTATTGTGCGTTTAGAAAAGGAAGAAGAGGATCATACAATGTTTAACAACACCTGTTAATAGCCTGTACACAAAATATTTGAGTCCCAACTTGAGGAGAAGTTGGCGTCCATGTGACAACTTGTGACCATAAAGTTGTATTTATTGCCACATGTGTCAATGCTCTATTCACTAGTCCAGTGACTGACGATTGTGTAACAATATTTGTTATTGTTACGGAACTTCCACAACTGTTCACTGCATACAATGTCGTTATATAAGTTACATTTACTTGAACCCCTATACACGCACCTTCAATTGGATCACCAATAATATCTGGTGAATTCATACAGCTGGCATTTCCACAAACATAAATGAAAAATTGAACCGGAACTGAACTCAAAGCTACTGTAGTAGTGCTCGAAATAAAGTCTTCAACCTGAATACAAAAAGATCTTATGATAAATATATTTTAGTGTGAGACTACTATGAAGCTGCTTAACAGTTCGTGAAGGTTGTGATATAATTATTACAGCCTCCTATCACCGAGTCAGAGAATTTACAGTGTAACTCCTTCTACAGTACTACCTGATTTCATATGCAATATGAAATAGTACGTGATGAACACCCTTCACTTTGTCAGTTTCACAATCTACACTATCAAATGCTCAAAACTATTCTGAATTAAGCGTCAAATTTTGGTGTAAGCGAACAAAGCTAATAGCTTTCTACAACTGAATCTAACACAAACGCATTTGAAGGTTTCCTTAAATATTAAACTGATAGCCCCGCCCAGAACAGAGGACCATGGTCTTTTATTATAGTTTGGCACATCGCACATTTTTGGTGAAAACTGCCCTGCACATATGGCTCATGTGGTGTACTTCAAAATCTTTTGACATGAAGGAGGGTGACAAGAGGGTGTTTTTTGCCCTTTATCTTTGCCTATTTTTATTCCATTTATGAAATAAACGCTTACGTTATTCATATAAAACAATCTCGTGAACTCTTGGAAATGTTACTAAGGGCGTTCCAAAAGTAATGGCAACATTAAATAAAAAACTAAAGAAGCAATTATATTTTTAAATTTTATTTAATAAATGTTCAAAGTAGTCTCCATTATTAGAAATACAAAGTTCCATCCTTTCAAGCCACTTGTTAAATGTCTTTAGATACTCTTTTTCAGGTATGGATTGGAGTATCTCTGTAATTTGATTCGAAAG